AAGTTGCTACCATAAGGTAATATTGCAAGAAACACTGTACAAAGCTGAAGTCGTTACTATAAGGTATTATTGCAAGAAACACTGTACAAAGCTGAAGTTGCTACCATAAGGTAATATTGCAAGAAACACTGTACAAAGCTGAAGTCGTTACTGTAAGGTAATATTGCTAGAAACACTGTACAAAGCTGAAGTTGCTACCATAAGGTAATATTGCAAGAAACACTGTACAAAGCTGAAGTCGTTACTATAAGGTATTATTGCAAGAAACACTGTACAAAGCTGAAGTTGCTACCATAAGGTAATATTGCAAGAAACACTGTACAAAGCTGAAGTCGTTACTATAAGGTATTATTGCAAGAAACACTGTTACTATAAGATATTATTCACTTTTACTAGTAAACTGAAAAGGACTTGATTTGAATAAACCAAACTATACGACACTGGTAAAAAACTACCCCCATGATAAAAATATTAGTGGGTTGATTAATCTCTTGATTTGCGATCTTTAGTAAAAAAAATACGATTTTAAAAAAGCCAATTACATAACGTTAAATCGTGTTATTTTAGTCTGTGACTGATTACTGCGTAAATCCTTTGGTAAAATGGGACGTGTTACTTTACAACAGCTGGTACTGAACAGTGACGTCTAGAAGTCAGAAAGATGTAATATATTTATACACAACTTTTATTCAATACCAGTAAAGTACTAATTAATTAAGAAGAGTTCTTTCGTTAGTGCTTCGTCAGCGTTTAACACCACTATAATGTATTTTTGAATAATGAGCTGAATACAAGTACAATTTATTAAACAGAGAGCCTTAAAACACAAAACTGGAAGATAGTCATTTGTTTTCTTGAAAATAGAAATTATTCTCCTTCGTGATCAAAGTTTAGAAGAATATCGTAGGGTTAGCGTGTAATATTAACGTACTGGTTGTTCAGAATAGCTTACTTGTGTTCTTACACGAATGTTTGGTGTTTATGATTTATGTATTCCAGTTAGTAAGGTGAGCTATTAAATCATCTAAGCACTCTGTTCAATACAACGAACACCTTATTTTACTATTTTTAATTAACATGCAGACTAAATCAAGTATGGATTCGCAAATAATAATAAAACATAAAAATAATTAAAGGGACTTAATTATCTGTCGTTATTTGTCAATTCCAAGTATTAACATAAAAAAATTAAATACAGAGGACGCTAGTATCCCTTCACTAAAACAGTATACTAGTTGCTGCTGGTCTAGTACTAAGTTTAAATTATTTCGCAAAATTTAGGCAGGCTAAAAAGTTAAAAGTGTATATCCGAAAATGTAATCTTTCTAGAAATTGTGTATATCAAAACAAAGCTGAAAATTTCAAAATAACTTTTCCTTGGACGAAAATAACCTAACCTAGTCTTATTTTGTAACATGCCCAACATTTTAAGTGCCTATTCATTGTTATTTATAAATTACCTGACTTGTTCTATGTTTTAAAGTGAGATAGTGCAGGGCTAAATATGTAAGACCATTCTTATATATGTGGGGGTTTAATCGGCACAGCGACCTCTATGATATTTACTCCCAGACTTCCACACACTGGGCAGGTGCTGTGACAAAATGCAATAAAACATTTTAGAAGGTATATTTTTAACCCAGGCTTATATTTTGAATATTTAATTATAAGTATAGAGCTTGTAAATTTTGTTACAATGTGTCCTATTAGTGTTACATGCCAGATAACGAATCTTATATCGTGAAATTGGTTTTATTTGGTGGAAATCAATTATATTTTAATTGATAGTATAAATGTTGGGTACCGAAAACAAAAAAAAAATTATTCAAGTAAATAAAAGGATATATAAAAATTTAACATTCTATCTTATGACACAAATGCCATGCCAGGCTTCTATGATAGAAGTCTGATAAAAGTTTATCTTATGACACAAATGCCATGTCAGACTTCTAGGACAGAAGTCTGATAAAATTCTATCTTATGACACAAATGCCATGTCAGGCTTCTATGATAGAAGTCTGATAAAAGTTTATCTTACGACACAAATGCCATGCCAGACTTCTATGATAGAAGTCTGATAAAATTTTATGTCATGACACAAAAGCCATGTCAGACTTCTAAGGTAGAAGTCTGATAAAATTTTATGTTATGACACGAATGCCATGCCAGGCTTCTATGATAGAAGTCTGATAAAATTTTATGTTATGACACAAATTCCATGCCAGGCTTCTATGATAGAAGTCTGATAAAATTTTATGTTATGACACAAATGCCATGCCAGACTTCTAGGATAGAAGTCTGATAAAATTAGAGTTAGTAGAGGCCTGAATTCATTTAAACCAACTTTATTAAATTGATTTTCTTGAGAGAAGTCCAAAACAAAGAAAAAGAAATTTGAAGCATTTACTTATTGGTCAATGATTGTGCTTCTCGCGTGCTGTCAATAAACACGAATCAATATTACATATTAATTAATTTTGGAAATATCTGATTGGTTCTTACGAGTATATTAATTTTATCCAAACTTCTTGGTCTTATCTTTCGTAACTTTTTGTTGATGTTTTTCTAGAAGGAAGGAATGATTTCTACATTTTAATTTTATCATCACTAACTACATATACATACTTGCTTAAATCAGAGTGAAAAATCCTGTAATTATTACTGATCACCTAAAATTATTTTAATAAGAAAACACGAACTGAATATGATTTTGTAACAGCTATTAGTTTTGTCTTAAGGAAAGGATGACTGTTTTTGACAATCTCCCAGTTCTTCCACTTTGTATTCCTGAATGTAGCGACCATCTTGACACTTTGTATCTCCGATTCGGCTCCAGTACTTGCTATTCTCAACAATCCACAACAACCGACAATCACACTGGATTGGATTTCCTGTAATTATGAGCATAATTTTAGTTTTCTATCTAAATATCCCAAAATATAAAATATAACAAGCTTCTAATATATGAAAAAAGAAAAACCTAGGTACACTTTCAAACATTGTAATTGTAAAAAGCCATCTATTGACTAATTTTGAGTTTTGTTTAGATAACTCATTCAGTCTGATTGGCAAATATATTCACGATTTTACTAGATTTAATGGACACATTAGAAATCCCACATTTGAGATGGTGCTTTTTAAACACTAAAACAAATTACTTGGACAAAAATGGACCACATTGATTGTGAGCTTGTCATGATATGAATCATCAAACAAAGCGACACACTTATAGTGTTTCAATAGCTTTACCTGTCATTACGATGTGTCCCTTTCCAATCTTAGTGAAGAACTTGACTACCGATTCGAATGTTTCTTGGTCTAGGGTTGTCAGCTTATTGTTATTAAACAGAAAATCTACAGGACGACGAACTCCACTGAAAGCTTTGGGTGAAATTTCAGAAATGCTATTGTTGATCAGAAGAACGGTCAATAGTTTTTCTGTATTGTTGGATCGAAACGCAAACGAGTAATCAGTTAGCTTGTTTAGTTGATTATCTCTAAGATCAATCATTGTGACACTGTCCAGCTTTTCAAAAGCATATTGTCCAATAGAGGATATTCTGTTTCCCTGAAGTTTGATGACGTTGAGATATTCCTGGTCACCAAAGGCGTGGTCAGGAATGGAAGGAATATCGTTGTAATCAAGAAACACTGCTGCAAGGTCATTTAGTTTCGAAATGGCCTTGAAGACGGATGGTGTAGAGACAGCCCCATTGTTCAGGAAAATGACTTGAGCGATATCTTCACTGCCTTCAAACGCATCTTCTCCAATCGAGGTGAGGAATCTGTTGTTTTTCAGGTCGAAGCGGTGAAACTGGACGCCATTGAACACTCCGGATGGTAAATTCGTTGCCGTTGTTCCTTCCATGAGAAAAATCCCCATTGGATAAGGAATGGTTGGAAAGTTTTTGAAGGCTCTGATAATTTGTTCCGTACTTTTGGCTTCATTGCAGACTACTCTAGCAGTACCCTCACATTTACATGGGTACATGTCTTCCATTGTTGGACAGTAGCTTGTTGGAGGTCCCCCATAACTAGCCACTCCAACCACTAATAGCAAAACGCCGTACAGGTAACCTGTAAATAAAAGTCAAATATTAAATGTTTCCAATTTTTAACAACAACAAAAATTATATCTTATACTTGTCTGTTACGTAAACATATGCTAAGACTTGTTTTCTCAAATACCAATTAATATGAAACAATAAGCAGCCTTGCGATACGAGTTGTTTATAAACTAGGCAAATTATGTTATGAATGTTTTGAAATACCTGTAATATAAGTAAGGCTTAGAATAAATTAAGCAACACTGTAATTAATGTTGATCTCAAACCTCTAAAAAACGTAAATAAGTCCATTACAACCTGTTACTACCAAGATCAACAAACGGTGAAGAGGCCGAAAATTGAGGCCTCTGAACATTTTCCACAAGCACAGACTCTCTGTTATTAATTAATACGATTTTACGCATTAAATGTACTTTGGAGATAAAGTAAGTAGCTGAAAACTACCTGTTAAGTTGTTTATAAATTTTCATTTTAGTAATTTGCCAAAGAGTAGTATAAGTTCAAGCATGATCAGTGACCCGTAAAAGTAAGAATGTTTGACAATATTTGACTATTAAAAGTCTAATACCGGTTCTTGTTATCACTGGTCACTAGATAAATATTTTTACAATAAAAATACTTAACGATATTGGACTTTTAAATGTCTAACGTCAGTTCCCGTTATCACCGGTTAGTAACTAAATATTTTTACAATAAAAATAATTAAATATATTGGGCTATTAAAAGCCTAACGCCAGCCCCCGTTATCACTAGTCAGTAACTAGATATTTTTATAATAAATATAGTTAACAATATTGGACTATTAAATAAAAGCCTAACGCCAGTCCCCGTTATCACTGGTCAGTAACTAGATATTTGAAGGTCAGTTTTCCGGATAGCATGTATCGAATGTCTGTATAGTAGTGCACAGAAATCTTCATTAATGATAAGAAACTGATAGCAAATATCGATATTTATTTAATGTGCATTTTTGACGATTGTAATTTGCACATGAGAACAAATCAAACATAATTTATAAGAACTTGGGATTATGTAGTAACATATGGGCCGAGAGTGACGTATAAAATATAAGTAGTTTCTTATAATTAGAATAAAAGCTTTCACTTACCTGCCATGTTACGCTTGAAATGACTCTTCTTCAGCCTTGGGTATATCGCAGCCTGCCACAAGGTCAAGTTTACACAAAAGGACCGGTTCTTTACGTCCTTTTATACCCCTGGTGAAAGTCCCGTTTATCAGAAACCTGTTCTTGCTCACGTGGGATGGTGTTCTTACCCCACCTTTTCCTTCTATCCATACACAATGTACAAGTCATTGTCGAAACAAATTCTGACAAATGCTGTTTCCTAAAAACGGAGATAATACAGCTTAATCTTATCTATTCAGACCACTAAGATATGAAAAAAACCAAGACACAAACAAATCGAATTATATCAAAATCAAGAAATGGTCATAAAGGAGCTGACATATATTGTGCAACGAGTGCAGATAAACTCGAGTCTTTAGTATAAATATTTACATACTACATGTCTTATAGGTTTATTAGTTCCATTCAACGATTACTTGGATAAAAACAATTATATAGGATGTCAAAGATAAAACACTTTTTTTTTCTAGAAATTAAGTTTTTAGTTCGCTACAATGACAACGCTTTCCTAAACGAGATAATGATAAAATCCAAAAAAATTAAACACATCTGTAGCCTCTTAACCACGTATAGGACATGGGCTGTGGACGGTAAACATTTATAATTTATTAGTCTAGTGTAGAACAAGTTCTACTTCTTTGATAGATTGTTCAGGCAGAGTATTCGTGATGAAACTGCCTGTTGTAGAAACACAAGTGTTTCGTCGGGTTTTACTTCTTTGATAGATTGTTCAGGCAGAGTATTCGTGATGAAACTGCCTGTTGTAGAAACACAAGTGTTTCATCGGGTTTTACTTCTTTGATAGATTGTTCAGGCAGAGTATTCGTGATGAAACTGCCTGTTGTAGAAACACAAGTGTTTCGTCGGGTTTTACTTCTTTGGTAGATTGTTCAGGCAGAGTATTCGTGATGAAACTGCCTGTTGTAGAAACACAAGTGTTTCATCGGGTTTTACTTCTTTGATAGATCGTTCAGGCAGAGTATTCGTGATGAAACTGCCTGTTGTAGAAACACAAGTGTTTCATCGGATTTTACTTCTTCTTGCGTAGTATAGTGAATGGACCATTATTAAAGGCCTGGTTGTATAAATTACTACGTCAATATAGCCCTAGACCCATTATAAGGCTCCTTGGCCAAGTATAGAGGACAGATTGTGTACATTAGTAGAGCAATATAGCCCTAGACCCATTATAAGGCTCCTTGGCCAAGTATAGAGGACAGATTGTGTACATTAGTAGAGCAATATAGCCCTAGACCCATTATAAGGCACCTTGGCCAAGTATAGAGGAC